CATGTAGATGTTAAACAGCATGGGGGACAGTATCGAGCCTTGCGGAACCCCATGACATAAATGCCATGGGGCAGAGCAACTGTCCCCCAGCACCACCCTCTGGACACGGTCAGCCAGGAAGGAGCGGAACCCCCTACTTCCAAACCAGCCAGCCTATCCAGAAGGACACCATGGTCGATGGTGTCGAAAGCCGTTGAGAGATCCAGGAGTATCAACAGGGTCACACTCCCCCTGTCTCTCTCCCGGCAAAGGTCATCATACAGGGCGACCAAGGGAGTCTCTGTACCAAAACTCGGCCTGAAACCCCATTGAAATGGATCCAGAAAATCCATTTCATCCAGCAGCGCCTGGACTTGCCCAGCCACAACTCGCTCCAACACTTTGCCCAAATAAGGGAGGTTCGCCACTGGTCGGTAGTTAACCACCAGCCTTGGGTCCAGGTTAGGCTTTCTAAGGAGTGGTCAAGATACTGCCTCTTTCAAGGCAGTAGGAACCACTCCCTCTCTCAAAGAGGCATTCACGGCCTCCTGGACCCAAGTGTGAACCCCCCTGGAAGATCTTCCAATTAGCCAAGATAGGCAAGCGTCACGCGGAGTGGTGGTAGAACGGACAGATCCAAGCACCCTGTCCACATCCTCAGGTCTCAACAATTGAGCACGGCACACTGGACACATCTTTCGATTTTGCAGTAACAGTGGAGTCCAGCCCACTGTGAATCTGAGCGATTTTCCCCTCAAAATGAATAGCAAACTCATCACAGCGAGCTGATGAGCAGTCCAGGACCTCCACCGGATTTCCCGGTTGAAGAAGATCCCGGACCACCCGAAACAGCTCTGCTGGACGACATTCGAGGAAGCAATATGGCTGGAGAAATATTGCCATTTCGCCAGCCATATTGCCACAAAATAGGCCCGATAATGGGCTCTAAGTCGTGTTCGATCGGACTCCCAGCGGGACTTCCTCCACCTGCACTCCAGCCGTCTCTCCTCTCGCTTCATCCCCCGCAGTTCAGAAGTATACCAAGGAGCTGTCTGGGTTCGGCAAGCAGGGAGAGGGCGCTTAGGCGCAATCGTGTCAACCGCCCGGGTCATCTCCCTATTCCATAGGGTGACCTGAGCTTCGACAGGAGTACCAACCATATCAGACGGATAATCCCCCAGAGCATTCAGGAAACCATCCGGATCCATTAGTTTCCGGGGGGCGGATCATCTTAATAGATAACCCACCATTCGAGAGGGAAGAAAAAGCTAATAGACTTAACTTGACCAGGAAGTGGTCTGACCATGACAATGGGATCATGACCAGCCCCTCCACGTCCAAACCACCACCTTCTAGTCCTGTTGAGAAAACCAGGTCCAAGGTGTGGGCCTTCTCATGTGTTGGGCCAATGACACATTGAGACAGCCCCCTGGTTGTCATGGCGGCCATGAAGTCCTGAGCCACCCCAGTCAAGGCAGCCTTGGCATGGATGTTGAGGTCCCCCAGCACCAACAGCCTGGGAGTCCTCAACACCAGGTCCGAGACTACCGCCGTCAGCTCAGGTAGGGAGTCTGTTGGTACGCAGCAGGGTGGGTGGTACACCATAAATAAAGCTACAAAAGACATAAAAATGGACAAAAGAGTTCTCTGTGTATGTGTCAAGAATTGGGGTGTGGAGATGGGTCCTAGACAAGTTAGTCTTCCAAGCTGACAGCAAAGAGACTCACAGAGACAATAGTTCCCTTTACCGGCAGTGTATTTACAGACGGTACAACAGAACTATTATGTACACTAGTCAGCGGACGAAATAACGCACTTTCAGCAAATGAATGGACAGCACTTCTGGCAGCAACTCTCCAACACAATACTCCACACAGCGCCATCATGTGCAGCACTTAGATAGTTTGATCAGCCAATCACTGGGCACATCACCTGATGTCTTCTCCCAGACATTACCTCATATCCAATACACATTTCATGGATTGCACCAGCCTCATGTGCTGACTCTGTGGCTGCACACCTGTTTCAAGATGGCTGCCTATTAACAAACTTTGGTTCATGTATTAAGAATAAATTCTCTATTCTGGGTCATGATATCCTGACAGTATTTGCACGTGTACACGCACACACACACGCATGCGTGTGCGCGCGCGCACACACACACACATATGAGGGGGTGTGTGCGCGCATGCATGCCCCTCATTTGGATTAACCTGGAAGTCCCATTCCTAGACACCAGGGCATCTGCCGGTAAAGCTGGACAGCACATCTGGAAAGGATTGCATCTCGTGCCCAGTCAGCTGCATAGGTATTTCTCACCCTCTTCTCACCAGGTTTCTTTGTGGAAACCCAACCTGAATAAACATAATCTTTAGATCAGGACTGAAGCTGTTGAATTGACTGAATTATCAGGTTCTGGAAGAGGTTGTACCTGTGTTTGCCAGTTTCCCCAGAACACAGAGGATGCTGCGGTATGGGAGCAGTCGGCCTTGAAACCCTTCCAGCAGCTTGGTCAGCACTTCCACAGGAAAGTGATTCCAGAGAGCCACCAGGATGTCGCCAGCAGCATCCTGATACAGATCTTGAAGATCCTGGGGTCACAAGGAGCAGAACACAAATGCCTCTCATGGGTACCACTCAAGCCAGGACGGTCGCTCACCATCACCTTCTCCCCTACTCCTGCCCTTTCTCCTGGAGCAAGCAAGAGGCTTCCTTCTACTTTCTGTAGATGAGAGAGCCTCGACAAGGTTCCGCTGAGTCACCAGACTCCAGCGCAGGGGCAGCTACAGAGCCACTCACTTTTTCATTTAACTACGCCGTTTGCTTTTCTTATAACTAGACATTTGGCCAACTGGCGATGAATTGAACATAGCAGAGGAAGTCTTACCTACATCAAATAAATTACGAGTCTTTGGGTAGCTATCACATTTTTTACATGATCCAACCACAAAAAGTTTACTGAATAACTTATGACAAAATTTCCAATCAGGGTAAGTCAAGCTAAGCATTCCAGATGTTGTTTTACTGTAACTCCCAGCATTCTTCACCATTGGTTTTGCTGACTATGCTGGATAGGAATGATGGGACTTCAAGTCCTAGAACGACCAAGTGAGTGATTTTTATGGTTTAAGCCATAAAATAAGCAATGAACGAGTCATTAAAACTATAAGTTTAGCACAGCATAGAGCCAGCACTAGAGAACAAAATGGGGGCATTACTGTAAGGGGCTACCTCCACCCTGAAGGCATCTTTCTGAACTCATTTGGAGCAGACACCTAGTGAAGAACCTCAGGTGAAGCTCCAAGTAGGCATATGGGCTGTACACTATGTGTTTTAACACCGTGTGCCGGAGGTTCCTTAGAGCAGAGCAGCCTTCTTACTTTCTGAAAAATTTCAAATTCTGCAGGGTTAGTTAATCAAATGCACCAATATTCCACCAGTGATTTGTGAGATGAAATTTTCTTGTGTCCTGAAGTGCAGCCAAATATTGATATCTCCGTGTATGTCTGTGCATACAATAAGAGTAAGCAAATGTGTACGTAAGAGAATGGTCACATGAGCACAAGTCAGTCTGGAGGGGATTCATTCATTCCACCACTTCTTTGGACATTTGTTTGGTATCTGCTTTGTGATTTTAGTTCTTACTGTGGTCCTCAGCATATCTTCAGCAGCCAGTCTGATGATGACATTAGCTAGTTTGTAGTTTATGCTACTGGCTGATCTGATCACGACCTGTAGGATCTGATTAATACGCAATCGATGTTTTGGAGAGATCTGAAAATAAAAAAGACACCAGGAAACCTACTGGGCAGAGTTAGGTGGGAGTAGTAAAATTCAAAACAGCACCAAAATCAATTTTATCTCTATTCAAAGTCAGAAATGAATGCTCTCAGAAGATTAGCCTGATTTCTCAGATATGGTGCCTATGAGGGCCTTACCTGCTGTTGAGACACTTAGGGAGGCTTAACTACAAGCTCTGGATTCAATGCAATATGTAGCTCAGCCACTAGGCAGCTGGTATCTGTGTGGACGGAGCCCTTACCACTATATGAAACCATGGTCCCAATCTGATCCAGCTTTTCCGGAAGCACTTATTTCAAAAATATCATGCATGTTAGGGTTGAGGTTAGGGTTCTCATCCAGTAGCCTGCTCCTATGGAGGCCAAAGTTATGCATCCAAGAGAAATCCACAAGTTGGAGCCACAGAACCTGCCCAAGCTGGCAACTGCATTTTGTGGCAGAAAGATCGATGGCTAAACAGTGTGCTGTGTGAAGAAGTGTTTCCTTTTATTTGTCCAGATGCTTCTGTCATCCAGTTTCATCTGGGAAATCCCCTGGATCAAAGAGTTTCACCACGGTTTTCTTCCTATCCATTTTATCCAAAGCAATTTTACAGGTTCTATCACTTTTAACCCTTACCTTCCAAAGAGAGAGAGGGGACGGAGACAGAGAGATCGCTAGACATCACAAATGTTATACTTTTATTCACAGAAGGACTGTTCTAGTATTGGATCATTTCAAATATTTTGGGATTTTTATTTATTTTTTAAGATGGGAGGGAAACTGCCTTGGGTCCCTGCAAGAAGAGAAAGGAGCAACAGAAAACAAAAAACCCAAAACAAAAAAACAAAAAAACAGAAGACATGCTAGCCCTAAACCCTAAGTTGATTGCCATGCTCTGGATCTTTTCAAGTTGTACAATAATAACCTGTTACAGGTGCAAGCTGGGCTGTCTCCCTCACCCACTCCCCAACATCACAGCTGCCTTAGCCGTTCCTAAAGAGCCGTGTATGACAACAACAGAGTTCTTGGGGATAAGGCAGGGTCCCCAGGGGACAAGAGGATGGGTTTGCTGACAAAGGTACCTAAACTGTCCAAAGGGCAGAACGCTCCATGCAGAGATGGATGTGATCAAGAAAGGAGGGGAAAGGAATTTCTGGCTGAGAACCCTGAAGCTGCCGAAATCTATAAAGGAAGGAAGGCTGCAGCCTTGATTTGGAGAGACACCCGCAGAAAATCCAAAGCACCCCTGTCTCCTGCTTTGTTGACTCAGCCAGCCAGCAGCAGGTAATGCAAGTACAGTATGGATGTTACTGTGTGTGAGATATAGGTGTTGATATGATTTATGGGTACTCAAAATCAAATCAGATAGCATTAGAAATCCATTTGGTCTCCATGGCATTTTTCTCTGATATACCATATCACCACATAAGCAACTGCAAAGAACTTGAAGGAAGCAGCTTCTTTTGCCTTGTTTAATGGCCACATGCATGTGCGTGCATGTGTGTGCATGTAGGCACACAAATACATGATCCTGGGAACAGGCAAGCAGGTACAAAGGCTCTTCTCATGGGAGACGACAGGAACATAATAGAGGATGCCTGCCTTCCTTCCTTTAGAGAGGCTGTTCTCCCTACAATGCTCTGCATAAGCCAAGCTCTGCTTCCGTCTCCAGAGAGGCAAAGCAAGGAACAGCTGATCTTCCAGAATCTTATTTCTTGCTGGGCAAACCCAGCCGACAAAAGGCAGTGCAGAGCAATAGGGCTGCCCATCTCAGGGCCAGTTTTATGATGGGTGACCTAGACGGACGTTGGGAAGACCAGGCAAAGAACGAGCTCCGTTTGTATTCTTACTCCCCCCCTTTTTTTTTTGTTTCTTGAGGGTCACAGAGGGCACCTCCAACTCTTCAGAATGGGATGCAGACCCTCCCTTGGCACAGGGGGAACCAGACGGGTGGCAGACTGCTCCCTCTCACAGAGCCATTCTGTCTCCAACTAACCCCTTTGTTCTTTTTTGCTCCATTTTCTTCCTTTTCCCTTTCCACCCATTCTGTCCCTGTCATGGTTAGCACTCCTCTTTGTCCCACGACAAAAGAATTTCCCTTTGTAGATGTCGCCATAGGTGCTCCTTAGAGTTGTTGATGCAAGCAGAGTAGTATGCTGGGGGGGGGGATGGGGATGCTGTCACATATAGTCTGTTGGAGTTTTTACAACCTTGCATACTGCTTTTATAGGAAGGGACTGGGAGGGACCTTTCTGGGCTGGGGAGACTGCCTGTCAAACTAGCACTAACCAATTGTTTCTTCCCTCCCTCTGATTTCAAAGAGAGCCCCGCCTCTCTGGTGAGAGAATCTGTTAACCTCTATTGTTTGCTGAAAGCAGTCATGTTTGTCAGTTTGCTGCTAACCTGTTCCCAACTGTAAGTAAAGAAAATGGTGTTTATTCTTTCTACTACTAACATCTCAGAGTGAGCTGTTGAGACTGTAAGTCCCATTTAGTGAGAAAAAGGGGTGGTCTGCTCTGGAGAGCTTGAAGATATTCTACTCTGTGAATCCCTGCACTTTCTACTGCCTAGCTAAGAGAAATTTAACCAAAATTCAAAACTCCCTGACATAGTTGAGGGTAAATTTATCCCTTCATCACCAGCAACACCCTTTGGGCAGCATTTAAACTTACAAAAGCCTCCATTGGTACCAATGGGAGTGTTTAAAAAACAGCCACCAATGGCTGGAGGGGGATGAGCAGTGGGTATGTCCCTCCATGCCCAGGAATGGGGGTGTGCTGCCCCACAGGGCCCTTGAGGTTGCCCACTCCTGCTGCACAGCTTTCTTTCTCAGTCCTTAAACCAAACTTTGCTAGATGGCTGAGGGTATAAGAAGCTCTAAGAAGAGGGCTGGTAGAAGATTGGAGGCAAAGGTTTTGTTTTTTTAAAGGGCTAACAATGACTAATTTTGCATAGTGGATTGTTTGCTCTATTTTGCACTCTGTGTTGATTAAATTCACATAGTATTTTCCTAACTAAATCATTTCATGGAACTTATTCCTTGTTCTCTGTGGTAATTTGACTTCAGCTTCGAATTAACTGGATGTATGAATAGCCTTAGATTATTTCTGTTTACACACTCTCTCATATTAAGCAAATGTTAACTCCAGTTTCAAGTTGTTGTTTTTAAGTCCATACTCTTATATAGTATCAGTATTCAGTATAGATTATATAAACATGAGTAACAAGCAACAAATACAGAACAGAGAGCTCAAGGTGGCCCATTGAGACTCAAGGTGCCTTACCTTGTGGATGCTCTGGCGATATTTGCAGATGGCTTGCAGGACCCCAGCCATCTTGATCTTGGCCAAGGCACACAAGTTGTCAGTTGCCTCCTGCACCAGAGAAGTGCTGTTTCCTTCTCTGAGGTTCCTCAAGTTGTAGAAACAGACCTGAGATTCTGGTAAAGAGGAAAAGAAAAGCCCAGAACCAGTTGGTGGCACATGGCCTCCTGACATATGCTGTCACCTATGGCTATATGACAGGCAAATGTTTTTAATCCTCTTTCAAAGCCATCCATATTCATGACTGTTACTACCTTTTGCTGCAGGAGAGATGAATGTCTCTGTTCTGATCGAAGTAGTTCTTTTTACCTGTCCTAAGTCTTTCAAAATTCTACACGATGAGGTAACCGCAAAGGTCTAGTACCATGAGAAAAATAATCTTTTAATAGTTTCTCTGTTTATATTTTTATGAACGTGTTGCATCTTTCTCTTACTCAGCTTTCTTGTAAACGAAATACCTCTAAACTCTTTAACTGTAGGAGAACACTTCCAACCTGTGAAAAGATTTTGGTTGGCTTTTTCTGCAAGATTTCCAACTTATAAACTTCTTTTCATGCACATTTAAAAGAACTGTGCACCATATCTCAAATGTGCCATAATAATTTATTTATTTATTATTTTCTCTCCCTAGATGTCAAGCTGGATAAATGCATTGGCAAAGCAGCTACCATGTTCTTTAGACTCACAAAGAGAATATGGCTCAATAAGAAGCTGATGGCAGATACCAAGATCCAGGTCTATAGAGTCTGTGTCCTGAGCACACTCCTGCCCTGCAGTGAGTCCTGGACCCTTTGTGCATGGCAGGAGAGGAAGTTGAAGACCTTCCATGTGCTTTGTCTCCAAAGCATTTTTGGGATCACCTGGCAGGACAAAGTTCCAAATAGAGTAATCCTAGAACGAGCTGGAATTTTTAGCATGTATACATTACTGAAACAGCGACGTCTACGTTGGCTTGGGCATGTTGTGAGAATAGCTGATGGTCAGATTCCAAAAGATCTTCTGGATGGAGAACTAGCACAGGGAAAACTCCCCAGCAGGCTGAGGCAAAGAGACAGTCTTAAAACCAGCAAAATCAGGGAGCTAGACAGGGGACAGATTGTATTTGTCTTCAGGGTGCAAGGGATGGTCACTCTCAAATTGGCCTTCTCAGCCACACTAGGCACTGTTCCAAGTCCTTTATTCAGAGCACGTTACCATAGTCTCGAGACTACAGGATGCCTAATCTAATCTAAAATTTATTATTTATTTCTCAAAAAAAAAAAAAAAAAAACCCCAAGGCAGCTTACATAATAAAAACACAATGTTAAAAGCTGAAAATAGTAAATTATTGAAATATTTTGAAAGAATTAAATAAACATTAAAAGCATAAAGGCAGTATAAAAGCATTACTATATTGGCAGGTTATTTTTTATTTATTTCCTACTAATTACTTTTATGAAGCTATTATTAGAACAGAATACGGAGAAACAGAATGGTTTCAAAAAGGCATAGGTGTCAGGCAAGGATATATTTTACTGCCCTATGTGTTCAAAGTGTTTAAAAAAGAAAACAGATATACAAATGAGAAGAATGGAAAGAAAAAAAATAAAGAACAAGTTAGAAACAATTTTGTTGAAGAAACATTAAATTTGTTAAAATGTAATGCAATTTGATAAGTCATTAATAGAGAGAGAGGAATTAAAACTAGAGGATAGAAAACTGACTAAGTTTGAAGAAATTATAAAGAGTTTGGAAAAAATAGATGGGGGAAAAGAGAAAGGAAGAACAGGGGTAATTTACAGAATCTTGATGGATCCGGGGAAGAAGGACATAGGGAAGATACTGTAGATGAAGAGGACTGGGAAAAAAATCTGAAATAGACAGGTTTTTAAAAACATGTCAGTTAGGATAAAAGAAAATCGTTATAAAATATGGTATGGTATGAGATGGTATTTAACACCAGTAAAATTAAACATTGTAGCTTCTAAATTTTCTAAGAAATGTTGAAAGTGCAACGAAGAAGTTAGTATACATTTTCATTTGTGATGGAATTGTGAAGTTATACAAAATGTATGGGCTGAGGCAGTGGTCACCAACCTTTTTGGAACCATGGACCAGTTGGCGGGGCAGCGTTCATGCATGAGTGGGCGTGGCACTTCTTGGGTGGGCGTGGTGTGCTCGTGCACATGTGCAGGTGAGTGGGACGCACTCACACATGGGTGTGGTGCGCTTGTGGGTGAGTGGGGGGCGCGCTGCACACATGCATGTGAGCGCACCACACTGATCTGTGAACATGCCCGCTCAGCCGTGCATGTGCACGAGCACGTCACACTCACCATACGCCCGCGGGGGGGGGATGATCTGTCTCCCCTGCCCGGTCCGGCTGCAGACCGGGGGTTGGGGACCCCTGGTTTAAGGTATTTGAAGACATCGCTGTTGATGTCTTCAACTGTTTTATGTGTTAATTGTTTCATATTCTCTGTTGTGAGCCGCCCAGAGTAGACTATGTCTGGATGGGTGGCATATAAGTCCAATAAATAAATAAATAAATAAATCAGAGAATTGTTGGAAATAAATATTGAAACGGTTTGGAAAACAGCATTGTTATTTATGATAGAAAATTGTGATGTGAATAATATATATATAAAAGAAATGGTAATGAATTTGATAACTGCAGCTCGATTGCTTATAGCGAAGTATTGGGATTTCCAGCTGCAAGAACAGTACAATGAAATATGGAATATAGTAGTTAATGATAAACTCACTTAAGAACTTAAGTTTAAAAAGGACGAGATAAAGATTAATAGATTCAATGAAACTTGGGAAGAAGTTATAAAAGCTGTATTGTGTAAAGGGAAAGGGGAGGAAATGGGCAATGAATACATGTATTTTTGGAAGGATTTCAGGGGTGGATAAAGGAGAAGGAAGATTATAATTATAAGTAAAACTATGTAACATATAATGGTTCCTGGGGGGAGGAGTGTACTTGTATGTTGTGTTTATGTATTTAGTAAGTTGTATGCATTTGTAGTACAGTACATGCATTTTAGTTTTTCAAAAATAAACAAGTAAAATAAAAATAGTGAACTCTCTCTATAAACTAAAGTAACGAGACTAAAGCTTTAGCAACTTTGGACACATCAGAAGAAGACTTCCAGACTATTATCTGGTAAAGATAATAATGCTGGGGAAAGTGAAAAGCAGCGGGGGGGGGGGGGG